GCACTATGATTCTTTTTATATCATATGATGTTTCAAAAGTTCAGCAGCCCAGTCATAAGTTGGTTGTCCACTAAGATTCAAAGATCACTCTCACAGTTACTACCAAGCTCGGTTTCTCCCAATCTATGTGTGTACTTTTGGTTTTTCTTGCCTAAGTGTAAGACTTTACTTTTCTCTACATTGAAATTCATTTTATGAGTTAGGGCTCAGTGTTCAAGTCTGTCAAGATCCATCTCACCTATCATCTAGGGCAGGGGTGTCAAACTCACATCGTCACGGCAGCATCATGTGACGTATCAGACTTTTTTCCCCTTCACTAAACTGGGCGTGAGCATGGCCAGTGTGTGACATATCCAGCCTGTGGGCCAGGAGTTGACAGCCCTGATATTGGCTATGTTGACAGACCTAGGGTGTTGGCTATTCCTGCCAGCTTAGTATCATCTGGAAATTTTATAAATTCCCCTTCTATTCCTTTATCTCAGTCATTTATGAAGATATTGAAGAGTACTGGGCTTAAGATGAAACCTAGTACCCCACTGCTTACTTCCATCGATGTAAAGGTAGTACCGTTAAGGACTACTCATTGAGTACGGTTTGTCAGGCAGTTACAAATCCATCTGATAGACAGTGTAACACCCTCTTTTTTCTAGCTTACCAAGAAATATTGCCAATAACTCTATTAACATGCAAAGTTATTCTTATATAGAAAGAGGTCATAATTAATTCCCAGTCTACTGTTATGAAAAAAAAATAATTTAAGAGGACTATACTTGTAGCTCTCAGCGGCAAAGCTGCATGGAAAAGCCTGGAAACTTTACACTTTAATTAATTGTGGCATGTTTAATTTTTCAGTGTTGTGGCTAAATGTAATTATGGAGAGTCGCTCAATCATGTTCAGTTCTCAAAGACTGCCTGGACAAGTATCTGCAGTTTTCTTGGCAAACTTTTTCATTTAAATTATATTTAGTCAACTTTAAACTGCAACATATTGTCTTTCCCACTGAACAATTACGGTAACTAAACTACAGTTTAGGATTTAAACTATGAAATTAACTATGGTTAACTTAAGATTCCATGCAATTTTTACTTGCCTGATGATTATACACAATAAAAATTTGAACATATGAGACTACAACTTACTGGGATTTAGCTTCATAAAATTAACCTAAGAATTTGAACCAGATCAACCAAAAACTACATATTGATTAACCATTCTAGAGAAATCACACTATACTTTAAGTTACAAAATGTACATTTTTTTCCTTAACTACCTTTTATCTACTCAAAATTTAGAATCATACATTTATCTGATTTATAAATCAGCATCTTTAGGCGGAATTAAGGGTCTAAATTTTAGGTTTTGTCAAAGAGGAAAGGCATAAGAGTCCTATAATTAGTAGCCTTGAAACTCAAAATGACAAACAGGATGAGAAGGGATAAAATGATCAGAATGAAACACAACAATCTATGTATTATCCATGTTCTGTTTAAGAAGCTAGGACCATATCCAATATGAAATCCTGCTTAGGTAATTGAAAAGAAATGCCAACATTATGTCATGCAGATTATGGTCAGATGAATACATCTGAAAACATCAGCTCGTATGTGGTATGTGGTAACTAAACTTGCAATACAAATCAGAGAACACAGAACAAGAGTATATAAAGAAAACAAGAGATCCAACACTGCCTTGAAAAATGCTGATTGGCGATGGGAAAGTTTGAGAAATAGAGCCGTTTTATGAAGCCTAGAACAGCAGTCGCCAACCAGTGGACTGCGGCCCACCAGTTTTGGTGGACTGCAGAGAAATCTCACCCCCAGAGCACTCCCCCAAAGCAATTAATCCAGACTGCCCCGCTCACATGGCCTGCGGGAACCCTCCCCGCCCACTCACTCCTTACCCGGAAAACTTGCCTGCTAAATTGCTATTTTTCTGACCATCACTTGGTTCTGCTGTGCCAGATTTAGATTAGCTAGGAAGCAGGAAATGGTTGGATTTCCTGCTTTCTAGCTAGTCTTTAGATCTTCGGCTCTGCTTTAAGCAGAGCCGAACCTCCTTTAGGACTGAAGGTTTTATTACTCAGTGCAGACTCACAGCAAGCAAATTTTATGTAACAGACTGAGCTAGCCGATGGCAGATAGATCACTGAATGATTCTGTGAACAACTCAATCTGCCTGCCTGCTTTGCCTGATTTTGGGTAAAAGTTGCTCTTTTTTAATAAAAAATTCAATATTTATATAAATATTTATAATATTTACATACAAGCCATGCCCAGCGAGTCACATGACCACCAAGCCACACCCACAAATTAGACCACGCCAACAGAACTGGTTAGTGGTCCCTGGGATTTAAAATTATGAGTTTGGTGGTCCCTGAGGTCCAAAAGGTTGCCGGCCATTGTATGAGCTTTGGGATTTAGACATAACAGCAAACCACCAATAGCATAAACTAATAGCATATATCATTCAGAAACAAGCTTCAAGTTATTTAGAAAGAAACTTCAAGTTGTTGTTTCAATTCAATTACTCAATGTCAAATACATTATGCAGATCTCCTTTTTATTATAGTTTTATGTTACTTTTTACTAATCACTAGTATTAGTGACTACTAAAAAGTAATAACTGAACAGAATACAGATCTCATGAATTTGGAGAGTATAAAAAGAAATAAGAATGTTCCTGTGTGCTTAGCAGATGACCTTAGTGTGCTATCAGAATACATTACTATATCCTAATATAAATGGGTTTATACTGAATAGCTGAGATAATACTGTAAAACTATTTTGGAACTATGCTGCCTCAGATTTTATCAATGGGAAGTCTTATGAGATCTCCTATGAAAAATATTTCTGCATAGAGGTAGTCCTTGACTTACAACTATTTGTTTAATGACCGTTCAGTTGCAATGGTACTAAAAAAACCAACTTATGATTGTTTTACAGACTTACGACCATTACAGCATCCTCATGGTCAGATGCTTGGCAACCGGTATGTATTTATGATGGTTGCAGTGTCCCACCAAGGTCATGTAATCATTTTTGTGAACTTCTCAACAAAGTCAATGGGGAAGCCAGATTCGCTTAACAACTATGTTACTAACTTAACAATTGCAGTCATTCAATAACTGTGGTAATAAAGGTCAAAAGTTGGGTAAAATTCACTTAACTGTAGCAGAAGAAACTTTGGGTTTAATTGTGGCTATAAGTCAAGGACTGTATTCAAAGTAATAATTGAATTCTTTGTTAAACTCTTTAAATTATTGTATTTTTTAAATGTGCAAAGAGCAGAATAAAGTTCACTGGAGTTGAATGGCCAAAAAATCAAAATAAATAAATAATTATATTTTTCTTACTTCACTAATCAGAATAGTATCGTTTTGTAACAGGATTTATAGAATTAAAATAGAAAACAATAAAGTATGAGTACTATGGAGCTAAAAGAGTACATAAAATCACCAAATTTTAAAACTGCTTTGCAAAGGCATAAAAAATAGTATTAAAGAGAGTAATTTTTAAAAATATGAAAATACTGAAGCATGCAGTTGTTGGTTTGAAATCCATATTTTAAAAAAAACATTAACCACATTACTTGCTACTTGCTTAAAGCAGTCTAGGGATATTTACTATTTATTATACATAATGCCACACAATTTTACCTCAAAAGCAGTGGTGGGATTCAAATATTTTTACCATCGGTTCAGTGGGCGTGGCTTGGTGGACGTGTTTTGCATATGTGCACACACTTTATGTGTGTGCGTGTGCCAAATGTGCACTTTGCGCAGATGCAGATGCATTCTAACTCACCTCCTGCAAGCCTGCACAATCCCGGTCACTTCAGTAGCTGCCACGCAGCATTCTTCTGTGCCGCGCAAAGCAGCTGCGCTTCAAATTCAAAGGATAAAGGTGAGTATGGGAACTTGGGCGGGCAGGCGGGCCCAACAGCAAAGTGGTGGAGAGAACCGGTTTGGTCTCCACTGCTCATCGCTGCTACCGGCTCTGCAGAACCGGGCCGAACCGGTAGAAAACCACCACTGCTCAAAAGCTGTTGTTTTAGTTTGTTAAAATGAGAAGTTTAAATAATTTCTGAATGAGTGAGATGTGCTTAAATCTACTGAAATTAATTGGATTTTAAAAGTCTCTAACTTTGTTCAGATATATAACTTTGAATATAATCTTGTAACAACCTCACTGTAGTTCTGAACAAAACTTTGTCAAACCTAATAAAGATAATATTAAAAGAAAACACCTAAGTATTCCTTCTCGTATCTATTTTTGCATAAAAAATTGGTTGAGCCAAGTTATGTATTAAAAATAGACACCTGGAAAAAGAGTTCATGTAAATATAATACCACTCTTATTAAAACAAATTCTGCATCACTCACTGCTTTATCACGAGTCAATACCAAATCACGGGTACCAAATACCAAACTCTGTTTTTGGGTGGTCAAATGTTACCAAAAGACAGAGAGCTCTGAAAGATTAAAAACACTTTAATCTGTGTACACTACTATGTCACTGAAAAAGGAAACAGCAGCTCTGTAGCAAGCTGCTGATTAGTACACAACTGATCTTGTTCCGAGTTCTGTATGACTTATTCCCTGACAAATGATGCTAGATTTGCCACTTGATTTCAGACTTTTTCCCATTGTGACAAACCTCCTCTATAAACTAGTTTTCATTGTCATTATTTCTTTTCCATTTTGTTTGCATCTCTTTTACTGCCTTCTGCTCATTTAGGTTTAAATTATTATTTAGCTATTTATTTTTCAACCAACAGAAATCCAAATTTATCACCTTGTCATTTCAAAAGAATTGGAAAGAGTCAAGCTTATTTTGGGTAATAAGCAAGAGCTTCGGTACATTTTACAGATTTTAGTGATTCTCAGCTATTATGGTAATTAGTCAACAAGCCCAAAGTTCAAAGCTTTGATGAAATGGTGAGTTCTCCACACATACTTAACACTTCCCCCAAACAGCTGCCTGTATTTTTTGCTACTTACAGAGCAAATGGGCACAGTGAACCCCACTGTGTAGAGGACAGTAGATGTGATGGTACTGTCATGGAACGGGTAGCTGATGCTGTCATCATTACAGAAAAAGCCCCTCTGATACGGCTTTACTTTTGCCAAGTTTAGAACAGCAAGGGGTAAGCCAGCTGTTGGGGGAAAATACATAAAATTAAATGTAGATAAGATGTCATTATATATTTTTCATCAAGTGCAAAGGAAACTACTGAGCTACATGCAAAAGTCAAGAGTTTTCTCCCAGCCAATTTAGCATCATGCAGTGCCCACAGACTCCCGCACCGCAAAGCATCGTATTAATTTGTTCATCATTCATTATCTGATCTCCTCTAAAAGTTAGGCTCAGAACCTCAGGGGTTCCAGCCTCAGCTTATCTAGCAAATGTTTGGTTGAAAAAAAAATGTCCTTTAATCACTAGCAATTAGACCTACTGAAAGCTGCAAATTGAATTAATAATGCTTAAACATAAAAAAAAAATGTAATTTACATAAAGGAAACTTATGTAAGTTATATAAACTTACAAATTACATTATTTGATATGTTTATTTTTGTCAATAAGGTCAAATGGGAGCTATCAGAATAGAAAGTCTGAAACTTGGATAGAACAACAAAAAAGAAAGAGACGGAATGATTATGGAGAACATTTAATCTATTTTTATGATGGAAAGATTTTCAAAGCTTGATCTGTTCAGCTTTCAGAAAGATGGATGCATAGAAAGTTTGCTGAATGTGGACTGTCCCACACACTCTACCAATTAATCCAAATATTAGAGAAACATTTTAAAACAATATGGAATTGTGATTTCTATAAATAGTTTTACTTCTTTTCCTTATACAGCGAAGTTGAAGACTCCTAGATTTCCACCACCCCATAACATCTGGCTAAGAAAAATAATTTCTGCAGCAATCCTATAAATGCCTCTTGAATGGATAAGTACAGAGCATAGAAATATAAATCACCACCAGCTCCACCTCTGTTTTATGAATACCTGTGCTTAAATTATTAAGATTTATTTCATGGCGTCAGTACTTGCTATAATTATCACAATCTTTATATAACATATTTATGTCATAATACTTTTGTGATTAGCTAATCTAATCCTATTTGAAACAACCTGGTATACATGTACTTCTTTACTCTTGAGGTTTTTATGCAAATATTGGAAATCATGCTGAAATCATTCAAATCATGTACACCAAGCCTACCTGTTACCAAATTTTCTAGATGTTCAGATGCATCTAATATAATGGGGATATTCACACATTAAGCTAACACAGATTCATCGAAGAGAAGGAACAACTTGGCTATACCAGTGCTGAGAGCAGCTTCCAACCCCTTCTTATCTCCAGCTGGTATCCTAGCCACCATTATAATGGCTGGCTAGACATCACCACTGGTTTTCTTTACTAGATTTAAAAACTCCAGTGCAAACA